TGTTACCATGTGAACGCTACCGTCCGATGCTGCTGAACCTCTCTGTCCACATTTCACCTCTCTAGATGCTCGAAAAATTGAGGTCGGCAAAAAGCCAAACACTTGCCAAACACTTACAGCTGCGAGTCGTTTTTCGACCATAGGTCGAGTAGCAAACCGATCCGCATGTGCCCCGATGATTTGAACTGATACTTCGATGTTGCTGAAGATCGGTGCACATGAAGCCTCTGTAGGTGCTCCAAAAAGTCACATTTGGTCCAACAAGTGTTATTGTGTAGACAGTTTTTTCTAGACATAGATCGATAATCAAGCCGATCTGAGGCTGTCAGACGATGCGAACAGAAGCGCTTGATGCTTATTAACCCTTTTGTCTACAAACCTCTATAGCGAATGTCGATGTGAAGTCGAAAGGCTGAGCACTTGCACCAACGAGTTGCAGAGTGTGCATAGTTTTCTGGCCGTTGCTCGAGTAGCAGACTTATTCCTGGCGTTTCGATTCTTGAGACTGAAGCTTCGGATGCTGCTGGAGCTCTGTGTGCACATGTAGCTGGCCGAAATCTCCAGTTAAGTTGACAGATTTAGATTTTCTGCATAATCGTATTTTCGTGAAGATTAGTTCTGGGATGGTAGAAATATTGCAGTTACAGCCCTGACGCACTCAGAAATGACGCTCCAGCTTCAGACTTCTTCCAATTCCAGTCAGGACTAGCACTGCCGCTTGGAACCTCACGAGACTTCTTGATCGCCGCCGAACCGATTTCTACGGTTACTCGGCGGCACCGGCCCCTAATACCTCGTAGAGCTCTTCGGCCAGATGAACTGAGAGGAATTCGATGGCAGGGTGGAGCTATTTGGCCGATCGGGCCAGAACGAGCTTCGTGGTGAAGTTTTTTGTGTGTTTTTTCTTTTGTTTTTCATTTCTCCTTCCCCCCCGTCTTCTTTTTTTTATGGAACGTATGTGTATGTATGTTCATGCAGTTATCTTAAACTGAATTTGAAGAAGAAAACAAGATGTGAACACTGAGCATTCTATCGCGCTGCGTTCGCCGTCGGAGGAAGTCTGAAGCGGGGGCCTTATATCTGAGTGGAATTGGAGGAAGTCTTGAGCGGGGGCCCGTGTGCTAAAAAGTTTCCGCAGTTCATGTCTGAGCTTCAAAGAATCATGCAATGCATAAGAGCTGTCGCAACTTGTGGGCCTCTCTGCCGTGAAATTGTAGAGGGTTTCAGGCGGTGGGCTCCTCTCTGAATGAGATTGGGGGGCGTTGCCAGCGGGGACGTCATTTCTTAGTGAAGTTGGAAGATTTCTAATTCCCATGCGGATCCTGATTCAGAGGAGTCCGTATTACAATTTCTGGCGAACCCCAAGGAGCTCCACTGTCCAGGGTGAACCGTCTGACAAATTAATTTATCCGAACTGTTTTTCTGCCGAGCCCGCGTCCACGCCGGCGCCCGCGCCTGCGCCCGCCCGCGCCCGCGCCCGCGCCCGCGCCCCCGCCCGCGCGCCCGCGCGCAGACCCACGCACTCACACACACACGCGTGCACGCACGCGCACCCGAGCTCGCGCCCGCGCCCACGCCTGCGCCCGCGCCCGCGCCAACGTCCACGCCCACGCCCGCGCCAGTTTGCGCGCGCGCCAATGCCGACGCACACGCCCGCGCCCACCCTCGCACTCATACCGGCGCCCGCGCCCGCGCCGACGCCCGCGCCTGCGCCCGCGCCCGCGCCCGCGCCCTTGCCGCGCCAGCGCCCGTGACCGCGCCCGCGCCCGTGCCCGCGCCCGCGCTGGCGCCCGCGCTCACGCCCCTGCAAACGCCCGCGCCCACGCCCACGCCCCGGCAGACGCCCATGCCCGCGCCAGCTCCCGCGCCCACGCCCACGCCCGCGCCCGCCCCGCACCCGCACCCACGCGCGTCGCGCCCACATCCACACCCCCGCCCCCGAACCTGCACCCACCACGCGCGCGGCCACGCCCGCGCCCGCGCGCGCCCCCTCTCCGACGCGCGCGCGCGCTCGCCCACGCGCGCCACCGCCCACGCCCGCGCTCGCGCCCCCGCGCCCCCGCGCCCATGAAGCTTCCCGTGTCCACGCTCGCGCTCACGCCCGCGCCCGCGCTTGCACCCGCGCCCGCAATCAACGCCCGCGCCCGCGCCCGCGCCCGCGCCCGCGCCCACTCCAGCACGCGCGCCCGCGCCCTACGCGCGCGTCCATGCGTCCACGCCCGCGCCCGCGTCCACTTTCACGTTCGCGTGCGCGCCCCCCCCCCCGCGCCCCCTTCCCCCCGCGCCCCCCCCCCCCCGCGCCCGCCCCCGCGCCCGCGCCCGCGCCCGCGCCAAACCCCCGTACCATGCCCAGATCCATGCCCACCCGTCGCCCGCACTTTTTTTTGGCGTCGCGGCCCCGAGCGCAGCAATAGGGTGGATCATGCCGAAGAGTAGCCCAACAACATAAGCACACACCCACACCTAGCTCCCGCGTGCGATGGTTGCACCAAAGTGCATG